ATACTTCTGAATCTATCCATTGGAGGAATCCATCTGTCATCTGCACTGCAATGCTCCACAGGTACAAATTGTCAGCGCAGGCATTGGTCCAAGGTAAGCCAGAAGACATTCAATTCATTGATCTTCCAGCCCATGCACAAGCGTATAGACGCGTTCATTAACAGTGTCTGTATTGCTGTCCTTTTGGCCCCTACACGCCATGCTAGGTAGTGGCATCTCCTTTGAACAACATTCCACCTGTATCAGTCCCAGCTTAAGGTCCCCTGAAACACAAAAGAGGACAGAAGAAAGTTCATCGCCAGCAGCTACAGGCAGGTCTGGAGAGAACAGTCTTGCCCAGCACTAAGGCTTTTGATCTGTCCTGTAACGCAGGAATGCACACACGGGCTCCTGAGCTGCCCTTTCAGCTTCGTGCGCAGCTATCATCACTTCAGCCTGTGATCCTGCTAGGTCTCACTAGCTACGGGTTGACCTGCATCAGTGCTTAAAAGCTGCCCGCTTTGTCTTTCTTCTCGCCAAATCACAGATGATTTAGTATGTTTTGCTGATTTTTGACAGTGACGAAGAGTTAGGTCTCGAACTAGAGCGCTCTCCGTGAACATGGCACTGAGGTCAGCACAGGGCTGTGCTCCAGCCAGAAGCCCTGTCCTGATTGTCAGCTCTTCCCTTGCAATTGTATTCAGATATTCTGTCCTTTGCCTCTCCTCCTGCACAGGCAGGACGTAAAGGCTTCTACAAGCTGTTAAACTATTGGCATGCTGTAAACCAAGAGAGGCCACGCTGCAGTTGTAAATAACATGATCCCAATGAATAAGTAATCCATGTTATGAACAGGACCACAAGCGTTAGCTATTGCTTGATAAAGATAGTCTATGATCACAGTACTGAAGAGCAGGCATGGGAGAAGACCAGCTATGAAGCCTGACCTCCCGTAAACCAGAGCCCAGTGAGTTCCCCTGAGCCCCCGCGCTGGAGAGGACGACTCCACTGCTCTGCAGGGACCCAGCAACCAGCACCAGCTCTGGGGCCTCGGCACCTCAAAACCCATCACAAGGGTGCAAGAGGCTTCCACCCAGGACCTTTCAGTCTCAGTCTAGTGCTCAAAGACAAAACAACATGAGAAGGGAGGTGAGGTGGGCAGAGGAACCCCTTCCAGAAGCAGTTGATGCTCACCCTGGAAAGGGCTGATGGGTGAGTCCCCAGGCTGCCAGGACAGCATCCCCTCCCAGCTGTGGGTACACAAACGCTCCCACCGAGGCTATTTATTGTCTCTGCCATAAAAGAGTTTCAATCAGGCTGGGACAGTAAATTGTAGTTTAAAATAAACAACCCCATTTACTCACAACGAAGGCTGTTCACTACCGAAACCCTGTCTCGGACAAGTAGTGCTTCAGAGCACAGATTTGGCTTATAGCGTTTAAAGCAGCTGTCTTCATAAAAGCTAATAAAATACAGTTGGATAATTAAAAGCTTTAATTAAAAATGCAAAGTCCAAATAGTTTCATATTAACAAGGAAACTTGTTTTGACGTCTGAAATTGCTGCACAAGCTAAATTCCCATGTATTCTCTCCAGGCTATTTAGAGCTTGCTGCGTAGCTGGAAATGTCTCCTAACTCAGTCCAATCACCATGTGTTGCTGGGGACGTGCACCAAAAATTGATGCTGCTTGTTTTACAACTTCACTTTTAATTATCACAGTCTGAGGCAGCAGTGGGCTTATTTGCATGCCAATCCCTGAACGCAGCTTGGGGATGGAGCAGCTTGGCACTCCAGGGATAAAATATGTGACTCCCGGGCATGGGCTGCCAAGCTAAAATGAGAGCTGAGCAGAGCAGCAGAGCCAGCTTTGGGTGGAGGTTTCTCCAACTCTGTCCTTAGCTGTGGCACTGGGGCATGGGGATAGGCAGTGCCACCACCGTGATCCCTGCCTGCGGCTGGGAGCACCCACTACATGGGTGCTGGGAAATGGAATTTGGTGGGGCTATGCTGGGGATGAAGGGGGAGCAGGACTGAGCCTGGATACAGGAGTTGTTTTTGCAGCTGAATGTGGGAGTTGGGTCCATGGCTGGTCCCACGTCTGCAACAGCTCAAGATGAGCAAGTTCTGTGGCTGTTTCTCCTTTCTGTCCATGGCAGGGTGAACTGGAAGCACATCTCTCCTACATGAAATCTTAGTTCTGGCAGGACAAGTGCAGGCATGGACACAGCCAGGGACATTCCAGGTGTTGGTGCAGCATGCTACCAGGAGAAAGGAAACTTCAGCCTGCAAAGAGAGGAGAAGCAATGCTCTACCCCATCCCTGGGATTGCTGGAGGCTCACTGAAGCCCTAGAGCTTCTCATATCCTCATTTCAAAGCCCCCTGAGGCCACGCAGCCAGTGGGAAGCCTCTGCTTCAGCCACACTGTCCCCTTTGGACCCTCTACAGCATCAGATCCTCTTCTGCCGGGGCTGATGCATGGGTGCAATTTACAGCCCCTTTGTTCTAGTTAGTGTCTTGGAACAAAATACTCTTGTAACGAGTACCGGTGAAATGGCAGTAAATCCATCAGTGCACCCTTAGGATTACAGATCCATAAGGCTTAAAACCAACAGGGACTGATTTAATTGTGTAATTCGACATTTCTCATAACACAGACCAAAGAGCCTCTCTAAGCACCAGCTGTTACATACCCATCACCAGAGCAACTTTTCTTTTAGCTACACATCCACTCATTTACTGGCCTTTGGCAGTGGAGGAGCCACCCCAGACCTGCTAAGGGGACCTGGTTGTTACTGCCCTCACTATGGAAATGGGCCTCTCCTGTCCAGATGCCACTGTCCAGCTCCATCTCCGAGACGCTGGATCTTGTTGGACCATTTTATGAAACACTAACTCTTGACTTATTGGGTCATAAGAAAGCAGATTTCTTTTTCCATTTCATATATTTTTATAGAGGTTAAATGAGACTAAACTTAAAACATTTGGATTTCAACAGCCAATGGCTTTGGTTTGGCCTTGTTTGGTGTTTTATTTGTCTTTGTCTCCCCAGGAAAACTTTCAAAAATTAAAATCTGGCTTCTGGCCAACCCTTTAGTGAGCAGTAGAAGACCTATGTGCAGATTCCCATGCCATGGTGCCTTTTCTTTTCCTCTACCCTACCTTGCCACTTCTGTTTTTGTTTTCTACAATGAGCACAATAAACATTTATTCATCACAGCCCCAAGGCTGAAAGTACCTGGGATAAAGGCAGTAACTTGGTACTAATGCTGCACTTGGCCCAGGGCTGACCAGGCACCCTGAGACCTAGATGCCTTTCTCTGCTGGGTGACCGCTGGCAAATGGTTTCTCCAACCCCTGCCTCAGTTTCCCCATTTGCAGAATAGAGCGATGATGGACTCACCTCCTCTGCAAAGTGCTTTGTAAAAGCTTCTTTCCCTTTTTCTTCTGGCTCTGGTGACTTCTGGAGGGTGGAAATTTTTAGTTTCTCAGCAGTCCCTGCAGCTCCACCAATCTGCTGCCTGCAGCTTGACCCATCCTGCTGAAGAGCAATGGTGTGTGCAGGGAATTTTCTCTGCTTCCCACCCATTTGTTCCCTGGGCACAAGGGGGCTGCAAAGGTCACTTTGGGTCCCCAAAGGTCACTTAGCAGAGTGCACAGCTAAATTAGCCCACAATGGGACCCCCCCTTACAGCAGTCCCCTCTGCTACCATTGGGGTCCAAAAACTGTGGTCAAGCCAAAAGCCGCCAAGGGGAAGGGGAGCGTGGGCAGAGTGCAGGGGCGCTGGGCCAGGTAAGACATCACCCAACATGAGAGCACCCCTCAGTCACCCATCTTTAACATGGGACCTCTGTGGGGTCCCACGGCAGTGAGCGACTAGGACACAGCAGCAGGGCTCGGAGGCCCGGGGACAGGGAAGGGCCGACCACACAGGTGTCCGTGGCCTGCAGGGGCTGGGGGCTGCAGGGTCCTGTCCCTGCTACCGCTGGCAGAGAGGGAGGGAGAGGAGGACGGAGAGGAGCAGAGCCAGCAGCGGGCTGAGAGCACCCTCCTGCGGGGTGCAAGCTGAGCTGCTGCTCCTCTGCTCAGGAATGCACTTTCCCTCGCAGCACAGAGCCTATTCGCTGGCTCATCCTTCTGTTTTCACACTTCTGCGGCCTCTGCTGCTCCCCGCTCACCACCAGCGCTTTCCACCCGCTTCCCAGTTACCTCTGGAGAAGGAAGGGGGGTTTTTGGCTGCTGCTGGGGGACACTGCATGGACTCTCTCCTGCCAGAAGCAATGCCTGCACCAGCCTCACTCATAGCTCTTTGTTCTCGGTGCAGACCTCAGGGTGGGAGGACCAAGAGGGACCTTTCACCGTCCCAGTGCCACCCTGATCCTGAAGCCAGTTGAGAACTGAGCTGGGGGCTGAGACCATTTACCCAGGTGCAGCAGGGGAAATGGCAAGACAACCTTGATCTGCTTGGCTTCTGCCTGCACACTCACACCAGCATGGTAAGACCAACATGTCAGGGCATCACACAACACCATCCTTGGTGGGGGAAAAAAAAATTAGGAAAAAAAAAAAAAAGCTGTAACTCATAC